TAACTCATATCGTCGATTTTTTATCAAAGCCGACGATTGGACTCGTTTTTCCTTCATTTATCGTTTTTTTTTATTATTTTATTATTAAATTAATTTTTTGGTCTTGAAAAAGTCGATTCCAACTTTAAAAAATCGACTTAAACATGCAACAGTAAATTCTATCAGATGGTCTCACATATTTTTCCACTGGTCAAGTCGTCTAATGTGAATGGCTTTTTTTACGGCGCCATCCTTAGTAAAAACTCAAACTCGAAAACTATGCGAATATGAGTGATGTAGCTGGTACAGGCGGCTTTGGTGCACCGATAATACAGGCAGGGCATGATTTCGATCAAAATTTATCAATTTTGTAAGAGTAAAGAAAAATTGATCCATTGTGACACGAAAAAAAATTCAGCTGGAGAACCGTCGGTTTTCGAGCGGTTTGAATGGCATGAAAATCGAAATAAGTTTTTGCCGTAGATTGCGATTATTCAACTAGGCTTCGAATTTAGAATAAGGATTGTTTCTCTTTCTATGATTTTTTTGTTGTTTGAACGAGATATAAAATTCTATAAAATGCTCGTAATTAATCTTAAAAATAAACCTCGATATTTTTACATAAAGATATCCAAAATGTGTATTAGCCGTTGTCGATTATCCTATGATGGGTCACAACCGTCAGATGAATTAAATGAAAACTTTACAACACAACCATAACGAACACGATATTGTTCGTTTTGTGATTGTTTGTCTAAAGGCAAAAAAAGTTCGAAATAAATATTATCAATGTTCAGAATCTATTTGTAATGAATATTCTGCTAAACGGATTTTTTGCATTACTTATTCTAAATAAAGAAAAATTATGATTCTAATAATTTCTTTGCAAGGTCAAATAGGATAAGTTAGGTAAAAATATTGGTTTAATAATGAAAAATCACACCATCAAAATATGTCATCATATTATCCCTCAAATAGACTTGGTAATACTAGAGTTAAAACAAGAGAATTTAATTTTCGTTTAAATATCATTTCTTGAATTTTTAAATAATATTTAATATGTTTCAATCAAAACTAATAATATATTTGAAATTATCATGGAAAAATTAGTCAATTTACATGTATTTCAAAGTTTTTCATTGTACTTTTCGAAAAATTGAACTGAAATCCAGCCAAAAAAATGAGTTTAAGCAAAACACGATTTCTATTATTTACTTGAGGATGTGGATGTGGGAATGGGGGTGCATATTTCATACTTTCTAATCGTTTTGTTTCTGTATATCTAGTACCATCACAAGTGATTAAAATCTATAGAAAATAATAAATTTTTTTTTTAAATAAATCGATATGACATACATTAAAATTATAATTATCTGAATAATTATTGACTAATTTTTGAATATCACGTTCTAATATTTTCTTATCATTTTCCCGAATACGACGTAAAAAAATTGATTCCGTAAAAAACTATGACCAACCAAGAACTGGTATTAAACTAAGTGAATGTTTTCCAACAATTTTTATACCCTAGAGAAAAATAAAAGATAATTGAATATAAAACAAAAATTTACTCTTAATAAACGAAGTTTATGAACATATACTAATGCAATAAGCCAATCAATTTCATATCGAT